AGAACATTTTATTTATAAAAAATAAAAAACAAAAATTTATTTTATTTCATAAAAAAATAAAAAATAAAGTGTCAAAATAAGTCCTTTTTTTAACAATATATTTCTTTCATACAAAAATAAAAAAAATATTTTTATAAATAACTCATTCCATTAATTCAAGTGCTTTTTTTTATTGTGTTTCCTTATTTTGAAAAACAAAATTAAAATCTCTCAAAAATTATAAAAATTAGAAACAAATCTAAAAAATAATAATAACAACAAATTTAAAAATAGTAAAAAATATTAATTGTTTTCTTTTATAGTGAAATGAATATTTTTAAAGTTTAAATAATTTTTGCATAGTTAATTAAAAGGTAATGGTTTTAATCAACGGATGTCGTAAGGTGTTAATACCTTCCTTACACGTAAATGACTCCTGAGCCCAAATTTCATTTCAAAGATTTTTTTATTAAAAGTTTATTCAATAATTTTTTTAATAAATTTTAGTGGCAACTCTCTGTCATAAGTTTTTTCTTTAAATAAAAAACTGATTCAAACTCTTTCTCTATAATTCTTCCTTTTCCTTATGCGGTCACCATCCTGTCGTAGTTGAAGACACCAAGAAAGATCGTAGGTAATAGCAATTATAGAAGAAGCCATAACTGTTATGACATTTAAAAGCAATCATGAATAATAGGTAGCAATAGTTGAAACCTGCACCGCGCCAATAAGGATGGAAATAAGTCAGGCCGCCTCATAAGGGCATGCGGCCTGGCCTGACCTTTTTAATAAACAAACAAGATTTAGGTTTTTTTAATAATATTTTTTTATATTATTAATTCTGCTATTATTAAATTAATGTATTATGTTATAATTATTTTTATTTATAATTATAATAAATAGAAATTATATTATATTAAAATTAAAAATATTTATATACAATTATACTTTTTAAATTATAAATTTATTTAATAATAAATTATCATATTTGTTATATTTAAACAAGTTAAAGAATAGTTAAGTCTTTGAATAGGAATAAGACGCAATCAAAATTAAACGAAATAAAATTTAAAAATAAAATTATAAAATTATATTAATATATTTTTTATACTCTTAATTTTATTATTATATTAATATATTATGTTTAATTCTTTTTCTTTATAATAAATAGAAATTACTTAAATATGAATTATATTTTATTCAAAACAAAAATTTTATAAAAAAAATGATAGAAAAATAAAATAAAAAATTTAATATACAATATATATATATATATATAATAGGACCATATACTAAATAATATAATTTTAAATAAATAAAATAAAAATAATATTGGTATAATTTTTTTTGACTAAAGTACCTATAAAAAAAAATTAAATACTAGGTTCATAGCACACAATCATACACCTAAATATAAATATGTCAAATTGTAAATAATTATTTTATATTATATTTAAAACTAAAAATATTTATACATGATTACATATGTTTAAAAAATAAAGCTATGTAATTATAAATTATTACATTTGTTATATTTAAATAAGTTAAAGAACGTCTGAGTCTTTGAAAAGAAATTGGACACAGTTAAAACTAAACAAATTAAAATTTACAAATAAATATTAATATTCTATTAATATGTTATGTTATAATTCTTTTTATTTATAATAAATAGAAATTATTTAAATATGAATTATATTTTATTTGATAGTAAAAATTTATTAAAAAAAATGATACGAAAATAAAATAAAAACTTATTATAATATATATTAATATATATATATATATATATATATATAATAATATATATTTTTATAACTTGAACGTGTTTTAATTAAGTTATTAGTTAATTTATCAATTTATATGTAATATATAAGTATATGTTTTAATTTATTGTATCAGTAATATTTTTTATATTACATTAATGTTATATTGTAGTTAATTTTATATTTATTTGTTAATTTAAAATAAAAAATTAATGAAATAAATAAAATTAAATATTTTGTTTAAATAAAACTAAAATCTTTAATATTTAAATAATTTTTAAAAAATAAATCATGAAAAATATAAATAAATTTTAGTAATATAAAATATTTATAATTTACTCTTAAATAATATTTTAAAAATTATTTATAAAATTATATAAATAGTATTATAATTATTTAATAATTATTAATAACATAAATGAAATTAAAAAAATATTTATACTAATTTAATAATAAAATATTTATATTTGTATTAATATTAAAATATGTTTTTAGTAACAGACTTTAGTCAGATCAAGCTGCTTAAACAGGCTAGGTAAGACTGAAAATAAAGTTTTTAACAGGCAACAAGCCAAGTTCAGGAATAATTATGTTACAGGCCGAGCCTGTTTAGAGTAAAGTCTGACTTGTTTCCATCCCTATACGTCAGACACCAACTACTTGGAGATAGTTGTTGCTGTTTATTGTTTGTAGGAGTCGTACGTTTATTTTTCTTACATTTTTACATTTCTACATTCTAGTTTCCAGTTCATTTTACGTTTTTTGTTCTTGCAATCACGTACATAGTCATCATATTTCTATAAACCTTTTACGTTTAATTCAGTTCTACGTTATTATTGTTCATGTTCCAGCTTAATACTCTACTTTGCGACGTCCATTTAATCATTATAATTACAACACACATAAAAAAAAAATTCAAGATGACCTAAATCTAGTCTTAGATTGCTCTTGAATTATTTGTTTACAATTGACATTTTTCACCGTAAACACACCTGATAATAACAATAAATATATAGATAAAAACAACAATAGAGAAATAGTTAGTGAAGAGGATAATTTTGATTCTCAAACTCATGATAACGAGGAGAAATAATTTTAAAGTCACTAAATAGTATAATTTTGAAAGAAAAATGCCTAAATCTTAAAAAATATTTGAAACATGATAATTTTTTGGATATTGATGGATTAGATTTATTTTCAGAATTAAATATCTTAAAAAAATTATAAAATTGAAAAATGATAAACCAATCGACATTCTCAATTATATATAAAGAATAAATTCTTTTCCAAATACATATATAACTTACATGATAATGTTAACAATTCTAATTTCAGTTGCTTTAAGCAAAAGAAGTTTTTCAAAATTAAAATTAATAAAATCTTATTTAAAATTAATAATGTCTCAACAAAGATTAAACGAATTAGCTTTATTATTTATTGAAAAGAAAATATTAAATAAAAATAATTATGACAATTTTATAAATAATTTTGCATCACAAAAAGTTTAAAAAATAAATTTTAAATAAAAATTATAATAATTAAAAAAATTTATTTTATTAATAAAAAATCTATTTTTAAATTAGTTTTATGCCCTAAAAACTCTTTAACCACTGTTTATATATATATATATATATATATATATTCACTTCTTTGGAGGCTCTAAAAAGGAACCTCTTAAAGATATTCAATAATAGAAATATTTTATATCACTTTACATATTAGGGATGTAATTATGTTAATATACAATATATAGATCAATGATATTCAATACTAACTTGATGGAATAAAAAATTGACATTTTTTCTTATATTTTTGTTTCTTCTAAAATCTCCAATAATTTTTATTCAATTTTAGATGTAAAATTTGTACATTTTCGTAACATTAACGTATACATTTCTTAAAAAAATTACATGTACATGCTAAATTGGTAACAGAGTTAATGCATGACGAAATTTTTTATAACAATAATAATAAAATAAAAATTTTACGCTACTAATTCTCTTAATTTTTTTAATATACATAAACACACAAATATAAAACCTTTTCACAAATCTTCATAAGAAAAAAATGCCTACTTGTGACTGAATCTAAATATATATTTTTTACTCTATAAATAATTTCAGAAGTATGAGTAAAGAGTCTTAGATAAATATAACTTTTTGTTAATAATTAGGTTTATTTTGAATTTTTAAATATGTTAATCATCAAATTCTTTTAAAAGTTACATTGATACTGATACTAAAATGTTGTTGATTCTTCACTATCAATTAATTTCAAAATGCATAAGTATTTCGTTAGATAATTTTATTTTTATCCTTTATTTTAGTCAGCACCTCTTTTAATCTAATCTTTATTTTAATTTAAGAATCATCTTATATATTTCTACTTAATTTTCAATGTAAAATATAAAAAATTTTACAAATAATAAAGAACTTCGAACATTTTTATGTTAAATCAGAGAAATTAAGACTAAAAAATATTGCAAAATTTACTTAATTTTCCGAAGGCTATGTCCTTTTTAATTAAGAATTTCTTTGAAACTATTTTCTAAATAAAATGATTTTTAAAATTATTATTATCTTAATTAATCTTAGTTTAAATTTAATTTTAAAATTTGATATATCACGTTAATATAAATAAATATTTTTATTTTAATAATATATATTTTTTAATCATTAAATTATGTACATGCCTATTTAAAAATAAAACAAGTAAAATACAAATGCAATGATCTATCTGTCTCCCAACGCCTTTCTTAAATTGCCTTCGGGAATATGTCTATTCTTTAATGCTTCCGGAGATTCCTCTTCGCAAGAGATTTGCTTTATGCTTGATTTATATTATTTATATTTCACATAATTTAAGAATATTTATTCAATGTACATTATAATATTCAGTAAAAATCTAAATAAAAACTAAAACACTTATAAAAAAAAATTAAATTAACAAGATGTACTGAATTGGTTCGTTAAAGTTTAAGCAAAGCGTTGAAATTCAAACAACTTAGGCCAACCTAGGGGAATCATTGGTAGATTTACTGTGTGTTTACTTTTGCGTACATGTACTTAAATTTTAACGTATTTGAATTTATGTTTAAAGATATATAAACATAAATTATAATTAATAATATTAAAATAAATGTGTACCAAGTTAATCCAAATTTACTATTATTACTATGAATAATGAATTTGATGGTGTGAGAGATGAGGCTAGAAAAACAAAGCATGATGAGTAATGACTGTACAAACAGGGAGAAGTTAAGAAACGAAGAAGAGTTAAGGTTTGATGACCCTGTCGGCAATAATATAATAGGAGTGAGTCAATAGCCAAAAACGGTGCAGTCCAACTGTCACAACAAGTCGTCTTCATTTCACTCTCCACACTGCACTAGACACTTTTCAACTTTGTTCCACTAATTCCACTGAAAGAGAAGTGAAACATATACAACAACAACAGCTATACTACTCTCTTTCTCTCTGCTGCTCCCTCTCCTTTGAGTGATTTAGATCAGTGAGTGGGGGGGATCTATAAGGTGAAAGAAGAGTAAAAATGCATTTTTATGCATGTTTCTTTTTCTGGGTCATTTCCTTTATGATATTTTCATGCTGCTATGATCTGCTTTCATTGATTTTGCTAGTATATGGCATTCATTTTGGATTTTGTTGTATTGTAACCTCAGTTTTTCTTCATCTTTTGAGCTCTCATTAGTGCTGAAAAGTTTCAATTTTTGTGAACTTAAACTTGTCTTTTGGTGGATGCCATTGTAGATCTTTTAGTTGATCCAGCTAAACAATTGAAATCGGGGGTTGAGAAAATGTTATGCTATGTAATATAAAATAAATGGTTTAAAAGTCGGTATTTGGATTCTAGAAGATCGGTTGATAATGACATAAAAAATTCTGTTTTCCAAGTTTTTCGTTCTCTTCGTGTGAAATCATTAGCAATCTCATGCTTGATCCGCTTGCATGCTTGTCAAAAGAAAATAAAACGGTGTGGCTTAACGTATGTAAGGGAAATGTAAGGTTTTCTACTTTGTAGAGCTTAGAGCTATAAATTGTGCCACAAAACTACCTCATAGATTCGAAATCATTACCTTTTTTTGTTTCTGTTAACATGTAATAAATTCTTTGCGCTTGGATAATTACTGGTTTTATTTGGTTGGCTTGCATGTTTTGTGATGGTCTAATATAACTTTTTACTTACTAATCTCAGTATTAATTGCCATAGGTTTGACAGGATACTGACAACCAAATAATGGGTTCTAAAAACAATGCAACAGGCCAAAGAGCAAGAAGGCCTCTGTCAATATTTGCTGTGCTTGGTTTGTGCTGTTTCTTTTATCTTTTGGGAGCATGGCAAAGAAGTGGGTCTGGAAAGGGAGATAACCTTGCTTTGAAAGTTAATAAGCTGATGACAGACTGTACTGTTTTACCAAATTTGAGTTTTGAATCCCATCACAATGATGTTGCAATTGTTGAACCGCCTGAACCAAAAGCTAAATTGTTCAAGCCATGTGATCTAAAATATACTGATTATACACCTTGCCAAGAGCAAGACCGAGCAATGACTTTCCCTAGAGAAAATATGATCTATAGGGAAAGGCATTGTCCAGCTGAAGAGGAAAAATTGCACTGCCTCATTCCAGCTCCCAAAGGGTACATGACTCCTTTTCCATGGCCTAAATGCCGTGATTATGTCTACTATGCTAATGTTCCTTACAAAAGCTTAACAGTGGAGAAGGCTGTTCAAAACTGGGTGCAATATCAGGGAAATGTGTTTAAATTTCCAGGTGGAGGGACCATGTTCCCTCAAGGAGCAGATGCATATATTGATGAACTTGCTTCTGTTATTCCAATTGCAGATGGTTCTGTCAGAACAGCACTTGACACTGGTTGTGGAGTAAGTTTTATTATTTAAATTGTGCTTCTGATAGTATGCTCTTGTTCTTTAGTTAAGAACATTTAATAAATGGAAAAAATTATTTCTCTAATGTGAGTTTGTCTCTAAATTGAGCAAGTATGGGTAATTCCACCCTTAAACTTTGATTGGTTGAGATCAAGATACCCTTTAAATTGACTGATGGATGGGAACACCCTTACTTGTTCACAATAAAGATCAATTCACTTTGGAAGATCCTTATCCTAAATGCCTAATCATGTTTTTTTAGCTCTGTTTCTTTCATTTTCCTTTGATCTATTCCTAGTTTCCACTTTTGTTTCCCCTCATTCCCAGTCAACGATTTGGCTTGTTATAATACTATCCACTTATTTACATAAGAAAACACATTGAATTCCATGCACATTGCCATGTTTCTCTATTTTTGAGTTGATGAACCTCACACACGGTATGCAAAAGTCTGCTACTTAGGGATATCTGATTGGATCCTAAATGCTTAGCGAAAGGGTCAGCTGACTTTTCATTTTGTTTGTGGACATTTTGGAATCAAAAACCTTCTTCTTTAGAAGGTTTTTTCCTCTGACATACCTATTGCTGCCTTTAGAAGTCTCCTTCTAATGGCTACCAATTGGGAATCTCATGTTGACCACCTACATGAATAGTATTCTTTTGACTATTGCATTCCAAATTCCACAATTTCATATGTATTTTGGCTAAGATTCAATTGTTATTTTGGCATTTCCTTGTTTGTTAATGCTCAGTGGCACATTTTACTTGTTTTCAGTAGGAACCTTCCAATTGGCTTGTGATTGCTTTACCAATGTAAACATGAACAATTATGCAGGTTGCAAGCTGGGGAGCCTACTTGCTAAAGAGAAATGTGTTAGCTATGTCCTTTGCTCCGAAGGACAACCATGAAGCACAAGTTCAGTTTGCACTAGAACGAGGAGTACCTGCTGTTATTGGTGTTCTTGGCACCATCCATCTTCCATACCCATCAAGAGCCTTTGATATGGCCCAGTGTTCTCGATGTCTAATACCGTGGACTTCAAATGGTTAGTGTTAAATTGGATAGTCTATAAGATTGATCCAGAATGCGATGTTATCAGCCTTTCCTTATGTACATGATGATCCTGAATTTTCAAACAAATTCATAAAAAAAATTGATATCCTTTTGTCCACTATGTCGATACTATTGCTTGTGAAACTAGATGAAGGGGAAAAATAGTTAATTGGCGAGGTCTCTATGGCATTATCTTCTGTATTCCTGATTATTAAATTGACGTTAGTTTTTACCTATCCATTTCCTTTCAACTGCTTTCATGTTAGATCTTCAGCTATTTAAGGTTACCAAGGTATCAGCTAATAGGTATTGGTGTATTGCATTTATATATCGTTTCAAAGGCATAAGATCAAGTGGGAGGGGAAAGGGAAATATTTATAAAGAGGAGTGCTAAGAATACATTCTCTAACATACTTTTTTTAATAAACTCTTTATTAGTTAAAATGTATTGAAAACTGCAAAGTATGAGAAAGAATCATGAAATTAGGAGTGAGACTTAAATAACTTTTCTAGGTTTCAATAAATTTTAACTAATAACTAAGAGTGTGTCAAAGAGTGTGTTGTTGGCATTTTTCTCTTTATAAATCTGAATGAAATTTTTAAAAGAATTAACATGTTGACTTTCCATCCATTAATTGAATGCAGAGGGCATGTATCTAATGGAAGTTGATAGAGTCTTAAGGCCTGGTGGATACTGGATTTTGTCTGGCCCTCCAATTAATTACAAAACATACTATCAAACATGGAAGCGATCTAAGGAGGATCTGAAGGCAGAGCAGAGAAAAATAGAGGAGTTAGCTGAAAGTCTTTGTTGGGAAAAGAAATATGAAAAGGGTGATATTGCTATTTGGAGGAAGAAAATAAATGCTAAATCCTGCCAAAGAAGGTCTCCCAATTTATGTGATTTAGATAATGCTGATGATGTATGGTAAGTCCTACTCAACTTTTTGCACTTCAGTCAGGCATCATTACCATTATACTTATTATCGTATTGAGTTAAAAAAGATATGAATAGTTCTCAAAATTTCATGCTTTGTTCCTCTGCCTTTTGTATTTGTTAACATTTTTGGATAACTACGTAACTATGAGTAACTTCATTGCATGCTCCAAAATTTAACAAGTTTTCCACGTTACAGGGGTTGAGCTAGACTTAGTTGAGAACATGACCTGCATGGTGGGGCATAAAATAATAATAAATGATTATATGATTACCCAACTTCTTTAGTTAACTTTTGTACATTTGGATTTTCTCGCAACTGGAGACATCAATAAACAGTAGAGTAATACCAAGAATATTCTTCTTTTTCTATAACTTTGGGAACTTGGAAGGAAAATGAAGAAAATTAATTTTCTAATGGATATCTGAAGAGTGTGGGTATTATGTAGTATGGTATTAGCTTGATCATTGCATGATTTCATTTTTGAGGGATTGGTTGTCATCCAATTATCATAATTTATGTATGGTATTGCTATCATATAGGATTTTATTCTCTATGCTTTCAAATTTATTTATATACCTGTGTTATTTTTGTTTGTATGTATGTGTATTTTCTTTCTTTCCATCCTGGTTCTTTTTATAGGTACAAAAAAATGGAGGTCTGTAAAACCCCTTTCCCTGATGTAACCAGCAAGAGTGAAGTTGCTGGAGGGGAATTGAAGAAGTTTCCTGCTAGACTTTATGCAGTCCCTCCTCGAATAGCCAAGGGCATCATTCCAGGGGTTACAGCTGAATTGTATCAAGAGGACAACAAATTATGGAAAAAGCATGTTAATGCTTACAAAAGAATTAATAAATTGATTGGCACTAACAGATATCGGAATTTGATGGACATGAATGCAGGCCTTGGAGGATTTGCAGCTGCACTTGAATCACAGAAGTCCTGGGTAATGAATGTTGTACCAACCATTTCTCAGAACACTTTAGGTGTTATCTATGAGAGAGGTCTGATTGGCATTTATCATGACTGGTAAGTTTCTTAAATTCTCATAAACTTCATAGGACTTTTCTAATTTCATGAAAACTTCATTGTAAATTGGCTCCCTATTCTCACAAAAATGATTCATTAAACTGAGATGTATGTTTAATTATTGTATGATCTTTCATTTATGGATACTGTGATGCAAAATGGGTTTCTTTTATATTTGTTTAGACAGCCCATTTTATTTTTCCTAATTCGGGACCTATTTGAAAGAGATATTGAAGTTATTTATCACACTGGTTGTTTTCTGTTGCCACTGCTGATTATTCACCAAGGCTTCTTTTCAATAATTATATATAGTATTTCCAATGGACTTCAAATAATCAAGTAACATGGATGAGTGATTCAATACTGCAGATTATTTCCTCCACTAATAAAGATGATTCAACAGGCAATTAAAGTTCCTTATATGCCTTTTGGGGAAAGAAAATTTTGTCCTACAAAATTGCATTGATATTATCTTTCTTTGTTCAGGTGTGAAGGCTTTTCTACATACCCAAGGACATATGATCTTATTCATGCTAATGGTTTATTTAGCTTGTACCAGGACAAGTAAGTTTTTTCCTCTTCTTCCATATGCCACAAGTTGTATTTTGTGCATTCTAGTGCAAACGTAAAACTATTCACAAACAAAGTAAAACAGCTTAAGCTTTTGGGATAATTGGCCCTTAACATGCTCTATTCGAGCTTCTAATGACCAAGTCCAAGTGGTTTGAAGTTTTATCCATGCCACCCTCATTGTTTTCTATAAAAGTTGAATGTCTGGATAAGGTAGAGTAAGTCAACGCATTGTCATTATGAAAAATGCTCACAAACAAAGTAAAATGCTCTTCACATGAGGGACAGAGGAAGCTTGTTAGATACAAATCATTTGAGCTTGCACCTAATAACTACAAATTTTCAGATAAATGGCTTCACATTATGATTATCTTTGTGGAAAGTAGAAACAACTGGAAACATTAGACCTCTGTTATCTCAGATTCTGAGTTTCTTGTCATGTTGAACAAGCTGAAGTTCCTTTTTTCTGTTGGTTGGTTCTTCAGTTTTGGTTTTTGAGACCTTGCAAAAGTAACTGTAATGCAGTATTTCTTATTGAGAGGGCTATGTGAAATAATATATGAAATGCATGTCAAAGCTAAATGATCTTTTCTTATCAGTGATTCTTTTTGTGCACTGCCTGATTCATAGTGGAAGTAAGAGCTCGTAGAAGTTGGGGACATACTAATGCTACAAGAGTAACTCAATCAAATGCTCTTCATCCTAATTTTCTTTCATGTATCCTCTACCACATTCCCCTCCAACCCACCAGAATCCCAGGCTGGTTCCTAGACTTTACCACTAAAAGGGGGAAATATTAAATGAAAATTGTTATCTTGAAAATCTAAAAGCATTTAATGCTGCTTTCAGAAATAATTTGAGTAATTAATGGTATTTTTATTCCTTGCGTCATAAGAGCACATGCTAAATTAAAATTTTCCCCTCATGATAGCTATGTTTGATTATATCCTCGGATTAGCCAAAGGACTACTCCTCACTTGACGCCCTAAATTTTCTACCCCTTCTTTAAAGTGTCATTTAGTGCACGAAATTAGATAGGAAATTGTGCGTTGGAATTGGAATTATACCTTTCAATCCGTTTTTGTCTTATTTGGTGTACATATAAGTCCAGTTCCTTAGAATTAAAGCAGCATTATACTATTAGTTTATATCATGTTTAATTTCTCTTCTATTCTAAGAATTACAATCCCAAGTGTCAATATAGAAGTTAAAATCAATATTTCTTAGTTTATTGTTATTTCAATTGAATTCTAATTTAATTTAGAATTGTAATTCTATATCTCGATTCTTTCTTTCAACCAAATATACAAGTACAAACCAATAAATTATTTTTATCATTTCCGATACTGACATAACTGGAGTTGAAATTAGAATTCCAGATTGAAATTCCAATTGTATCAACCAAATAGACCCTTAATGAAAATCCTGCTGATTTGATTAACAGGTGCAACCTAGAAGACATCCTTCTCGAGATGGATCGGATCCTAAGGCATGAAGGAGCAATCATCATCCGAGATGAAGTTGATGTCCTTAACAAAGTTAGAAAAATTGTTGGGGGAATGAGATGGGATGCAAAAATGATGGATCATGAGGATGGCCCACTTGTGCCAGAGAAAATATTGGTTGCTGTGAAAGAGTATTGGGTTGGCACAACTAAAAACAACACCTCCAATGATCAATGAAACAGGTATTATTGGGCTCTAAGCCTCTAATCCTGCAGTAACAATCAAAGTTTCTAAAACCCAAAGCAAAGATGAAATGGGAAAAAGAAAATGAAATAATGAAAAGAGAAGATTGTAGAGCAAAGTGAAAGCAAAGATTGGTTATGTGAGTTCATTCTACGTCTGCCTTATACCAAGTGTAGATAAAATAGGTCCTAACTAGTCTTGCTAAATTATTTTTGGAGGATATAAATCAGCAAAGCTAGCTCCTTGAATAATTTAATTAAGCCCAAGCCCCAATGTATTGTGTTGATGGTGATACACGAAAACTCATGATGTTAGACTGTTTAAATATTTCAATTATATTCAGTTCGTTATTTAAAATACTTTGTTTTGTGTTCATAGTGGTGAAGGATACATATTCACCTTAACACAAATTCCAACTCACTGATTATTTTGGTTATGCTCTGAATTCTACAGCACATTTTTCAGGGAGAGGGATAAGTAGTCATCATCCCATATGGCCTTCACATCATAAATAATGTTAGGAAAAACTGTTTTTTAATATTATTAAATGAAGAGGGTAAAAATTTGTTGGGAGAATGAGAAAAGATATCTAAGTGATGGATCAACTCACTTGTGCTTTAAAAGATATTTATGTAATCGTTTTTTCATTTGGTTGGCACTTCAAATAAAAATAAGGGAAAGAGCACATAATTGAAACTAAATTCATAACATTAAGTATATTTCTATCATCATGTAATCTATGGCTTAATTAAGTAAACTTTAGGCTAACTTTAGCAGTTAAACAGTGGTTATTTTCTCTCATGGGGTTTTTTGTTTCTGGTCCCTGTGTTGGGATCCACTTTTTCATTGTGCTTCATTGGTTCTGGGAAAAGAAATTGTATTTCCACGTGACAGATACTCTTTTTAAACAACTAAAGGAAGAAACCCAGTAGAATAACTTGTTAAAGATACTTTTAGTTGCTTTATAATTAATTATCATGTGAAAATATAAAGATGAAAAAAAATTAAGCTACACGATGAGAAGTTTAAAACTTAGTTGACATCAAGCATCTGTCAAGTCAAGCTTATGTATTAAAATAAATTAGTCTAATAATTTTTTTAAAGCTATTTAGTTGAAAAAAAATGTTAAGTTTCAAGTCATTTTAAACAAATCTTCTTTAAGTTTAATAGGCTAACTTATTGAAATAAATATGAATAATCTAAAATACTACAATTATATAGGTTAATGATAATAATTTAAAGTTTTGGGAGCATAAGTTTGTTTAAGCTTCTTAATTTGTTTGAAAAGAAAAAAGCTTATTAATTTGTTATGAGATAAGTTTTTTTTTTATATATATTTTAACTTTTACCTCTAACCTACCCAGGAAGGTAAAAGAAGTTCAAGTGTATACTACAATGCAATCCAAACTTTTACCTCTTTATAAATGTTTCAACTTGTTCATCTTTCTTCCTACATGAGACTTTATTCACATTTAATTCCAACGATTTTCACCTTTGTAGGTAGGAATTTTTCATATTCATATAATTATAAATTAACATTTTTAAAAATATTTTATATCCGAGAAACAATATTAAAAGTTAAATTTTAGAATATTCTCAATATAAATTTTTTTATACCGTCACTTTTAAAAGTAGTATTACAAAAGTCAATAATTTATAGTGATATAAAAATAAATGAATAATTAGACAATGGTGTAAGAAAATGTTATATTATCAGTGCGTCCTAAATTTAGTTTTAATATACTGTCACTATAAAGATGTTTAAATCATTAAATAATTTAAAATTATAAATATAAATAATATTATTATTATAAAAATAAATAATTCACAATACAATGATATAATAATTTCTTTTATTAAACATGAGAAATTTTTATTCTCATATTAATTTCTAAAAAACATTAAAATATTTTCAATACAAATCTTAAACCCTGATTTTAGGTATAAAAGAAAAAATCCACCATGTCCTAACTATTAATGGGCATATAATGCCCTCCCCAGCAGTTCCACACCTTTATTTTAGCTGATAGAGTTCTATATAGACAGGCCTTGAGGGCATTAAATTCTTTTGTAGGCTCCATTCTAAGAACAGGCCTTTATGAGAAATCAAGTTATGATCAAAAGCGAACCAAATAATAATATTAAAAAGATTGAGGGACTTTTATGCATTAAAATCAGAGTGTATGCTATAATATTTATAAACTTGAAAGGATATTATACATCTTTTTTAAATTGATGATTATGATTATTTTAATATCTTAAACATTTTGAATATATATATTTTTTTATAATAGACACTAACATTTGTTATTTATTGTACATATTTAAGATGGTAATTATTTTTCATATGAAAGAATTTTTAAAGCACTATAGAAATTACTTAAAATTTTTTATAATAAAATATATATTAAATTAATTTTTAATAAATATAAATGATTTTTATTAATCCACTTAAGAGGAACATTAAATGGCCTCTTCAATTTCATGTCACGAGAGCATGCACTCTGATCTTTAATGATGGATAAGATAAAAAAAAATGGTTAGACACCTTCTATCCAAATTCTTATAAATAATTGCAGCATGACCATGCAAGAGCCCGTCTAGCTCGTGGTCGTGGGTTCGAGCCCCACGGTGGGCGTTTTAAAATATAATATCTATAATTTTTAAATAATAACATAACAATAACAAATAATTTCCGATGAAAGAAAAATATAATTGTCGCAACCGGGCGGTGGTCGCAACGGTACGACAAAAAACGTTTTTTTAAAAAAAACGTATTAGAAGAGTCGCCACCAAAGTTTATTTTAAGAAAAACTTTGGAAAAACTTAAATATAATATGATCTTTGAAACCAAGAATGAGTTCGGGAGTCATTTACGTGTAGGGAAGGTATTAGCACCCTACAACGTCCGTTTAAAAACGGTTACCTAAAATTAATTGTGCAAATTCATTCTAATTTTAAAAAATATTTATTTAACCCCTAAACATTAATTATTTTATTTTAGAAGAAGAAATATTATTTATTGAAATATTATTTGGGTTATTTTAAAAATTATTTTGACTTGACGGATTCGGTTCTCGCTCCTACGTATCCCCAGGTGCAATGGGGAACTCAAAGTCACGTAGTTCTATCTAAAAATTATGAAATTAGTTGATTATAATTAAGTTTATTAAAAGAAAAATTTATTTTAAAATTAAAATCATTTTCGTAAAATTATAATGTTTAGGATACAAGATAATGCAGTTATACATGTACCCTACGAGAAAACAATACAGAAAGTGAAGGAAGATCACACAACTATATTGCAAATCGTTAAAATATCTATATTCGTAAATTAAGTATTTGAATTTGAATTTTGATTATGATCAATGCTGAAAGAGAATTAAAAATAGCGTAAGCTATACGTTAATCTCTTATAATTTTTGGATAATCGAAGGCAATGTAAATCACACATCGACGTTATAAAAGATTATATCATATAATAAAAATGGAGAAATGATTTATTATTTAATTTGTTAAAATTAGAAATATGATTTAAGAAATTTTAAAATATGAAATTAATTTCATTTAATGAAATGAATAAATAAATTTCAATTGATTAAAAAAATATTTAATAATAATAATAAAAATTAAAACTTTGTTTGATAAATTTATGTTATATAAAATCTAAGGTAACGTTGGTACACGTAGGTTCTAACAATTTACGGTGCATGAAGGTAGAGTCGCTACACATTAGCATTATAAATTATTTTATTAATAAAACAATTTAGATTTAAATTAGTTGATTGATTCGTAAGTAAGTTAGTAATTAGAAGGAAAATATACTTTGATTTATTATTAAAGTGGTTAACTAATTAATTTAAGATAATACATGATAAATTAATATTGCATAAAGTCTTGGTAACGTAGGCACACATAGACTTTATCAATTTATAATACATGACGATAGAGAAGCTATCGTTAGTATTATAAATTGATGCAATTATATTATTATTTAAATTATTGATTATACAACAAAAAGATAAAAATAAGAAACATAAGTTATTCATCAAAACAAATAGAAACAAGACATGTATATCAAATTACATTCTAAATCTACACAAAATAACAAAAAAGAATAATGGTACAATAATAATGAATAAATAATGAAATAGATATAAAAAAAATCCAAGAATTATAAAAAGTAATTTGCTGTATTTATTTTTTATTTAATTTTTTTATGAAGAGAAACACCTTTTACAAGTGGAAATAGAAATCAAATAAAATATTAAAATAAATGCTAATATTATAAAAGTAACGTAAAATAAAGTAAATTGAATTTAAAGGTATATATATAAAAAAAAGATAATAGACTAATTTTACTGAAATAAGTTAAAACAAAAATAATAATCAAAACAAAAATATATATATGTATATAAAAAAAAAGCTAAAAAAAAAAAAAAGCCTAAAATGATTTGTTTTTTTTTTTAAGTGTGAGCTATCGAGCCCAAAACCCAAATAAATAAAAAGCAATAACATATTTAACATAATATAATGATGAATAAAAAAAAAAAGTGCCGGATATTGCATTAGAATTCAATTTTGAATAGTGCAGTGGTACAAGCACTCATTTCTCTCGACATTCAATGCGTCGAGAGGTCCTTTCAACTTTATTTTAATTATAATATATATAAAAGATAACCATGGGATATGAAATGTTATGAAGCGGTTCGGAATGAATAGCTTTATGTTTGTATCATTTAGTTCCTATTCCTAAGTTCATTTTTATAAGAGTCTACCAGAGTTTTGACTAGAGCAAGATAACTTTCGTATGCAAAGCAAAAAGAAAGGAGAAAAGAAGGAGAAAAATACCTTAAATACAGTTAGCAAACGTTCCCGATCTAAACCAAAATGAAGAGAATGAGGTTAATGGTTGGTCTCTTCTTTTATCTCTTTCTTCTTCTTGGATTATTTTCAAGAGTTTGTTGTTCCCTCTCTTAAATTTTTTTTCTCTCTCTCTCTGAAAATTTTTTGCTTTCTTCCTCCGAAAAAAATCCCCCTCACCGCATCTCTTGCTTGAGATTTTATATTGGGTTCATTTAGGGTTTTTACAAAATGCCAAAAATCTGAGTTTTTTCCTTTTTTATGCTTAAATCAGTTTTTGATGCTGGGTATGAGCCTGCATACTGCAGATTTCCGTTTCCGTGAGCCAAACTTGTTTTTTTCCAAAAATTTCCATTTTTCTGTAAAACAATTTTATTTTATTTTATTTAATTTTTTTTTATAAATTTTTTGAGGTAATCCT